TATTTTAATTTTTATTATTATTTTAACATGTTTCTAAAATAGGCTTTTAAATTCAAATATTTTCAATTCATAACATACCTAAGGTATTTTGTATCTTTATGTCATTTAATTTTTTAAAAAATATGAATAATTGTTTGAAAGTCCTTTAGGTAACAATTTCAACATAATTAATCCAAGCTTATATTAATATAGAAGTATCACTTCAAAATGTTGTATCCCTCGTAAAAGAACTAATTGATATAATCAAGAATGATGTATGTTTCATTTCATATAGTTATGCACTACTCTGAATGGATGTTTCAAATGGATTCAATTAAAGAAATTAATGGCTTCCAGTACTGAAAATGAAAAATTTGCCCTAGTTATCACAATAGTCCAACTTGTTTTGTTTAGTTAGGCCTTTGGTAGTCTATGACTACTGGCCAATCACTACATTGTCTTGTTTGGGACGCGATGGGGTCATGACACTACTAATACTATAAACATAATTATATAAGATTTCTATAAGTTTCTCTTTGAAATCATACCAGTGTTCAAATATCATCGCTTCTTTGAATTTAGCCTTCCTTGAGCTTCTTATATTCTGCATCACAATCTCTCCAAATTAGAGATTTCCTCCAATTGAAAAGAGTGAAATGGATTCAAATCAAACATGGTGTCTTACTCTAATTGCTTGAATTAGTCATCCTAGGTTCATTATAGTCATGTTATTTACCAATTAAGGATTGTATTTCCTCAATTTCTAGTTAGATGCAAGTCTATGACAAGATTCAAGCCTTCCCTCTTTTTCTTCTTTCCTCTTCCGTTTCCCTTGTTTTCTCTAAGCCTAAACACTTAGGAACCTGAATTATGAGTTCTCTTTCTCTCTCTCTCTCGCTCCGCCCCCCCCCCCCCCCCCCCCCCCCCTCCATATTTGTTTGATTTTTGCATTATGAGATTTGTGTTTCTCTCTCTCTCTCTCTCTCAAAGTTATCCTCCAAGTAAGTGTGAAGACAAAGAGTGAGGTCTATGGTTCACACACTCTACTAGTCACATAATTAGTATAACCTAATCAAGTTTAGGAATAATTTTTTTTTTTGGATAAACGAATCAAGTTTAGCAATAATTAAGTGAGCTTAGGTCACTAATCACACTTACCTTAGTTAATTATGATTAATTTCAGTTAATTGTGATTAAGTTCACTAAATGCACTTAACCTTAAATAATGCATTAAAATGTAGCACACATTAGCTTGAGACATGTAAGCACCTTGATTAAGAAATTAGAGACATGTATAACCATGTTATGCACGAAATAAAGTCTCCCTAATTCATATATATGTATATATATATGTCCTAGTACATTTCATATTAAAAAACATGAGGAACTCAAAACAAGAAGCATGGCATACTGGGTCATGTTTCTCATAATGAATTGCATGGCATATTCTTAAACATTCTTGTGATAAGAATGGAAGCATAATTATTGATGTTCATGCAAGGAAATAGTTGATGTGTGCATGCTATGCATATGGTAACACCCTACATAAGGTGTTTCATACTTTTCTCCATATGAAATTCAGTGTCATACTAGAAACATTTTTAGGAAGTATTTGGCTCTGTTCAAAATTTATCGGATGCGACATGTTGTTTAGAGGTACTCTTAGAACTCAAAAATTGTAATCATATATTGCTATGTTAATCATAAATGTGTAATACAGCCATAACTTTTACTACCTTGTGGAATTAATCATTTCAATGATGAGTGAAATACTCTGTTGATATGTGAATTAACCATTGGCAATTTTATTTTTTCGTTTCAGATTTTAAGGTGAAGGTGCTATTTGGAATGTATAATAAACCAAACCAAACCAAACCAAGCCAAGCCTTAAGTCCCATCAAATGGGGTCGGCTACATAAATCCTTCTTCTCCACGCGGCCCTATCAAAAGCCATTTCGTTAGTCAAATTAAGTAGATCCATATCTCTATTTACAACGCTAACCAACGTTAATCTAGGCCTACTTTGTCCCCTAATATTTCCATCTATCGTTACAGCATCACATTTCTTTACTACTGCCTTTGTTGGTCTCCGTTGAATATGACCAAACTATCTCAATCGATTCTCTCTCAACTTATCTTTTATCGGTGCTACTCCTAACCATTCCCGAATACACTCATTCCTAATTCTGTCTTGTCTAATCTTGCCACACATTCACCTTAGCATTCCTATCTCAGCAGCACTTATCTTATTTACATGTTGTTTCTTGGTTGCCCAACACTCCGTTCCATACAACATTGCTGGTCTAATAGCCGTTCTATAGAACTTATCTTTAAGTCTAGTAGGTATTCGTTTATCGCACAGTATTCCAGATGCACTTTTCCACTTATACCATTCCGCCTTAATCCTATGGGCCACATCCGCATCAATCTTCCCCGCTGTTGTGATAATCGACCCTAAATAACGAAAATGTTCGCTCTTAGGTAGTTCTTGGTTCTCAATCTTCACTTTTCCTTTGCTTTCATTACTACTGTTACTAAATTTACACTCCATGTACTCCGTCTTAGTTCTGCTTATCCGGAATACTTTAGATTTAAGAGCTTTTCTCCAAATCTCTAACTTTGTATTAACTCCTATACTAGTCTTATCCACTAGCACTATATCGTCTGCAAAAAGCATACACCATGGCATGTCATCATGGATATTTCTCGTCAACTCATCGATAACTAAAGCAAAAAGATAAGGACTTAAGGTAGATCCTTGATGTAACCCTACAGTAATAGAAAATTCATTTGTCTCTCCAGCAGGCGATCTAATAGTGGTAACCACCCCTTCATACATGTCCCTAATCACATCAATGTAACATTTTGTCACCCTTTTCTTCGCTAACACCCACCATATTATATCCCGGGGCACTTTATCATATGCTTTTTCAAGGTCGATAAACACCATATGAATGTCTCTTTTCTTTTCTCTATACTTTTCTATTACTCTCCTCAAAAGATAGATCGCTTCCATTGTTGACCTGCTAGGCATAAACCCAGATTGATTGTTTGACACCTCTGTTATATCTCGTAATCCGCGTTTTATCACCCGCTCCCACACTTTCATTATATGATACATTAGATTGATTCTTCTATAGTTGTTGCAATTCTGGACATCTCCTTTATTCTTATAGATTGACACTAAAATACTCTTCCTCCACTCATTTGACATGTTCCTAGTCAACAAAATTTTGCTAAACAACCTATTCAACCAAGCAATCCCCTTTTTACCTAAATACTTCCAAGCTTCAATAGGGATATCATCTGGTTCTAAAGTCTTATTTAATTTCATCTTCTTAAGTGTAATCTCCACTTCAAAGTTCCTAATCCTGCGATAGAACCTATAGTCTTGGTTTATCGTATTACTGGCTATTTCTTCCCCTATTGCCGTACATCCATGTTCTTCATTTAATAGTTTCTCAAAATAGTTCTTTCATCTTTCCTTAATCTCTTCATCCCTCACCAATACCTTAGAATTTTCACTCTTGATGCACTTAACTTGATTAAAATCTCTTATTTTCCTCTCCCGTATCTTATCAAGTTTGTATACCATCTTCTCTCCCTCCTTACTATCTAGTCTACTGTATAGGTCATCATAAGTTTTCAACTTAGCTTCTTTCACTACTTTCTTGACCTCCTTATTAGCCAATCTATAGCTCTTAAGGTTTTTCTCAGTTCTATCATTTTGTCACTTTTTAAAGCACTCTTTTTTTGCCTTAACTACCGCTTGAACCTCTTCCCTCCACCACCAAGTTTTCCTAGAGCTGGGTCCTGTTCTTTTCGACTCTCCAAGCACTTCCCTTGAGATTCTCCTCATACAATTGGCCATCGAGTTCCACATAGTGTTAGCATGATCTTCCAAGTCCCAAGTACCTTCATTATCCATTCCATTCTTAAATATTTCTAATTTATCCCTTTTTAGGTCCCGCCATGTCGTCCTACGATGCCCACCATCCTTCCTGGCTTCGTATTACCCTCTAAAACATAAATCTAGTACCAAAATCCTATGTTGAGAGGTCAGGCTCTCTCCAGGAATCACCTTACAATCATTGCATTTTAGGCAGTCCACTTTTCTCACTAAGAAGTAATCTATTTGGATCTTAACTGACCCACTCTTAAAGGTTATCAAATGTTTCTCCCTCTTCTTATACATAGTATTGGCCACCACCAGGTCAGAAGCCAACGCAAAATCTATGATACTCTCTCCAGCCTCATTTCTGTCACCAAAATCGTGTCCACCATGCACCCTTTCATAGCCTAGTTTATCTATACCTACATGGCCATTAAAATCTCCACCTATAACCAGGTTCTCTCCTACGGGTATCTCCTGTAAGATCTCATCCAATTGCTTCCAAAAATCCCTCTTAGTCTGATCATCTAATCCTATTTGCGGGGCGTATGCACAAATAACGTTTACTATATTTCCTCCAATAGCTAGTTTAACTAACATAATCCTATCTCATTTCCTAATGACTGCCACTACATTCTCCACAAGACCCTTGACAATTAAGATTCTTACCCCATTTCTGCGTCTATCCTTACCACTATAATACAGTTTAAAACCGGTATCCTCAATTTCCCTAGCTTTGTCACCCATCTACTTAGAATTTAATTGTTGATTAAATTCTGTTGAGAAGCACTCTCAATTTTAAGAAAGTTGAGTGCTCTGTAGGATTAGTTGGTGAGCCATAAAAGTGTTCAGTCTCAATCTTACATAGCCGTATATTTCAAGTTAAAATTATTTGACATATGTAATGTTCGAATTTATTTTGTTGGGTTTGTTAAGAAACAAACTACATATGTTCTTTAAGTTAGTTCAACTATTTGTTCTTTTTAGGCTTTTTGAATTGCTTGTAAGTTGTAATCATTTAATGTAACCACTTGTGAATTAGATGAATTGTGGCTGAATAAATAAAGCAATTAAAAACACACACAACATTGTTTGTATTGAGTATTCTGTTTCTTTTATTCTGTTTCAGCCAAGTTTTTGAAGCGAGAGCAGCTGGACCAGGATCCAGATCCTACAGAAACAACTGGAGTGTCTGCGGATGGTACTGGCCTAGTTGGTACATATTTTTATACTGCACCTGAAATTGAGCAAGGGTGGCCAAAGATTGATGAAAAGGTGAATCTTTGGCCAATTTGAGTATCTTGTTTCTGTTGCTCTGTATGCCAGATAATTTATTATGACCAATCTACTACATTTTCTGTAATCTTGGTTCACAGGCTGACATGTACAGCTTAGGGGTTGTTTTCTTTGAGCTTTGGCACCCTTTTGGAACTGCTATGGAGAGGCATGTTGTTCTGTCTGATCTTAAACAGAAGGGAGAACTTCCTGCTGCTTGGGTTGCTGAATTTCCAGATCAGGCGTCCTTGTTAAGGCGGCTGATGTCCCCAAGTCCTTCAGATCGTCCATCGGCAACAGAACTACTCCAACATTCTTTTCCTCCACGAATGGAATATGAGTTGTTAGACAGTAAGTTATGAAGATGTTTGTATGTATGCTAACTACATATGTTTTCCTATTACTTGGTGAAAAGATTGGAATGATGACTTTTTTAAGATAAAAGTTGAAAGAGTAAAAGGGATACTAAAAAGGTTTTTGGGTTATGGAAATACTGGACGGTGTTTTATAGTATCAATCCTTGTCTAGATGGTCTTAAATGTCATTGTGTGTATGCACTAATTGTGGAAGCATCTACCAGTGTCTTATTATAACTAGTTCAGTTGGGAATGTCATTTAAACTTAACGTTTTTTTTCAGTTGCTTTTAGTCATTTGTACTTGTGGTCACTTTGATTATAAGATGCGCCTCTGCATAATATTCTCGTTGTTGTATAGTGGGGAGTTTTCCCTCGTCTTTTATGTTCATTTTTGAAGACAAGAAGAGTTATATCACTCTTTCAGCATTATTATAATTCTAACTCCTTAGTGTTTCCTTTTGAAAGAGGGATGATATGAATGGTATGGTTCCTGGTCCAGTTGTACACCTCAGCATGTGTTATAGCAATCTTTATTGACCAGCATTTACTTGCTTGAAATGTTATGATTCTAAGGGAAAAAAATGGTCAAGTTCAATTTATAAGATAAAGGTAATGAATTAAAACTGGTTAATTGGCGTATTTACATTCCTAAACATATAAGTTGGATATTTAGGTTGCTATTCGCAGGGCTGTTATGCTCATCGTCTGCTAAATCATTACATAAAAGGCCTATTCATAGGCATCAAAGAAAACTCTAATTAAAGTTACTAACCAAAAAAAAAAAAAAAGAACCTACAGTAATTAATGCTAACAAAACAATAAAGCATATTAAATTATAAATAAGAAAATAACACTAGAATAAACCCTCAATCTTCATCCAATTCCTTCTCGTTCCCCATCATTACTGGATGCCTGCCAAATGCCGTCCGGCTGGCAAAAGAAAATAAAAGTGAAAGAAAAAGAAAAAGAAAAAGAAAGGCCGCACAAAAGAAAGTAAACCCTAATTCTTCTATCTCAATATGCAAAATTCAGCTCAATATCATCGTTTTCTAAACCATTACATATAATCCTATTAATGCCCATCCAAGAAAACTAATTAAAAGTTATAAAAAATAAAAACTATAAGTATGAAAATAACATTAACTTAAAAGGCTTAATCTTCAACCATTTCCTTCTCATTCCCCATCCCCAATATAATTGAATAATATTTTAGTTTTTGCATGTGAAGAATTAAGCACATAGGCAAGCACTTTCTGCTTGTAGCTAGATAGTCTGAGGTAATATTTGATCTGCTTTTATATCTTTCTATTTCACTACCTTTTTCATGATTTTCCTGTTTTCATTTGTGATTCACAAACAGTTGTTTGTTACACTATACATACAACCTTGTGTTTTTATGCCTTGTGGTGTTGTGTGTGGTCTCATTCTAGACAAAAATGTTTTTGGAAAATTTTCAGCAGTTTATGCGAGTTGGAGTATGAGAAGGTGAGGGGTATGTCATGCTTGGGTGTTATGGAAGTGAGAGATTATCCACTTGCCCCTTGGATAAGGTAGGTTGGTTGCTCATTGGCCAATTCCTTCTCATGGGAAAATGATAGGAGATCAGATGCTTTGTTCTATCCTTCGATGAAAGTGGTGAGTGGAAGGGATCTTCATTCGGTGCTAAAGTTGGTTAATCCGACGAGTCAATTTTGTATGCTCTCGTTCAAGACAAACATATTTTTGGAAAATTTTTAGAGTGGATCTTATAATATAGTTGGGGTGTGTTTGAAGTAGCAGGACTGAAGGCTTTGTGTAGGAGTATAAAGTGTGTCTACTGGTTCAAATTTCGTCAATGCTGAACCATTGGTTTTGTGTAGGAGTGCAAAGCTTTGCTACTAGTGCAAGTTACTCTGGTTGATGTGGTCTTTTTCGTCAGGCCGGATGGTTTAGAACTTTTTCCCTTAATTCATCTACTAGTGCAAGTTACTCTAGTTGATGTGGTCTTTTTCGTCAGGCCGGATGGTTTAGAACTTTTTCCCTTAATTCATTTGGCAGGCATTGTAATATTAAGTTTGCCTCATTTATTTATTTATTTTTGTATCAGCGACCCTAATTTGTCATATACAGTTTTCATTTTGTTGCTTTTGTAAAGCTAGAATTTGACTTTTCAGAATGTTTTACACATGCTCACTGTGTACAGAATTTTTGGTTGGATGCTATATATGCACTTTCTTTAATTCTCGTGGGCTACGTTATTTGGCATGTTTATTTATTTATTTTTCTAGAAAGAAAAATTCGATGTTCCAATTCTGTTCATTTATGCCTTAGCTTGATTTATGTTGCTTCTTTCTATCCAGATATTTTACGAACAATGCATACGTCAGAAGACACTAGTGTTTATGATAAAGTTGTGAATGCTATATTTGATGAGGAAATGTTAAGCACTAAAGGCCACCTTGAGGATGTTGGAGGGTTAGGTTTGGCTAGAAATGATACATCATCAATCCTTTACACAGATTTAGACACTGAAGTCCGGGACCAGGTTGCCGAGATTGCAATGGAAGTGTTCAGGCAGCATTGTGCAAAGCATTTGGAATTACTACCCATGAAGTTATTGGGAAATTGTCAGCAGCTTAATAGGTTTTTCTCTAAATTAAACTTTTTGTGGTCATCAGCAAACATATGTGAAACCCAATATCATTTTCTTCATGCATGCTTGAGCTGGATGCTTTTTTTGATTTATGATGTGAAGGAGAGCTGTTAAACTTTTGACCCATGGGGGAGACAAGATTGAGCTTTGCCATGAGCTGCGGTTGCCCTTTGTGAATTGGGTTATTGCAAATCAGGTGACAATCCACGGAATTCTGTTCATTTTTGAAAATTGTTGATCAAATTTAATGGCAATTTCTATTTCAGTTTTGGCTAGCTGAGTGCATGTCTTGCTTTACGGTGATGAAATTAGTGAAATCCTTTTAAATTTGTTTCCATTGGCTTGTACTTTCCAGCTTGTCTACCCTTTTCTTTTTGGTTAGTTGCTATTTCCATGGTCATACATTTGGCCAGTGGGATGTTCTCAAGATAATAATTTGATTGTGTTTTGATATTCACTTCCCAAAATTTCTCTCTTTCCATGCTCAAATTGAATTTTCTGCGTTATTTTTTTACTAGGGTTAATTAAGTGGCAAAATGGGCGGGCTCAGGTGGGTCAAAATGGGTGGTGCATTGACACAGCTCAACTGAAATCTGCCAATTTAATATGGGTTTAAGTTGGTTGTGTTAGATGGGGTAGGTGTTAGACAAATCAACACGATTAACCTGTTTGGTTTATTGAGCTATTTTTCTAAATTTTTTTTTTACTTTTTGGGTTCTACAAGACTAGAAAACACTAAAAATTTAAAAATTAAGTCACAAATTTGAATGAAAATCCACTAAAGAAAAAAAAAAAACCAAAAAAAGTTGTTTTGTTTTTTAATTTTTATTGGTTTTTTTTTTTTGAAAAATTTTACTCTTTAGATTTTTTTAGACTGGATTTGAAGTGATTTTTTTTTTAACACAATTTAAAAAACTTTACTTTTTGAAACCTAATTTATTCTAAACGTAGTATACTTTTTGTAATTTTTGAGAGCTGTGGTCTTCCTAGTTGGCTTGGGTAGGAAAATTGTGAAGATAGAACTGTTTGATTTAGTTTTTGAATCAGTTTCTAAATTTTTAAAATTTTTTAAAAAATTTAAAATCCTCCCAATGACCACCACCAGCTTAAAAAAAAAAAAAAAAAAAAACCAGTCATCATTTTCACATTATTTTATTTTTGGAGGTGAAATCAAATTTTGAAAATATCTTTTTGGTGTTTATTTTTGTTAAACTAATTTCTATTCTTAAAAAAAAATCCAAAAAATAGATTCTGAAAATGAAACCAAACAAATATTATTAATGTTTGGATATGATTTACATGATTGGATTTTGTATGCAATAATTATACATAAACTGAATAGATGTATTAGTAACCGCATTGGTAGTGGTGATGTATTAGTAAACCACATTGGTGCTGGTGGTTTGGTGGAGGTAGCGGTGGAGTTGCGATAGCTGTGGTGGAGGTGATGGTGTTGGTGTGGTGGTGGTGGTGGTGGTGGTGGTGGTAGTGGTGAGTTGTGATAGTGATGGAGGATGAGTACAGAGAGTAACCAGCATGTGCTTTTCAGGCTGATTTTAATTCTGTTTTATGGCTGAAACTGCAACAAGATTATAGGGGTCTAAGGGTTTGTATTAATAATAAAGGAGGTAAAAGTTTAAATATTAAAAGATGAGATCTTGGCACTGTTTTGGAGCTATTTCAAGGCTGTGAACAGTGTTTGGGCTGTTAAAGTGCAGGAATCACTCCTGGAGGCCTCAGGCGTCATACTTAGGGTTTGATTGCATCACACAATCTATAAAAGAAGTTTCAAAAGCTCTGAAAATTCTTTAAAATATTGAGTCTATTAAATTATATGCATTACATGACTTCATATAGATTCTAGAGACTTTCTTTACCATTTAGGATTCCAAAATAAGAAACAACTAAAATTTTGATTTCAAAAACCAATTAATAACAAATAAGAAACAAATAAAAATCAATTAAATAACTTGACCCATAACACAAGATGACCCATGGGTGACTCGTATAGTCCATGTTAACAAATTTGAAAATTACCAAAATACCCATGACCTAAAAACTCTAGAAAACATAAAATAACTATAAAGTAAGACTCTAATAATAGTAGAAACATGATTATGTATGGTTCCTATTGGTTTCACTTTGAAATCATTCCAATGTCCAAATATCACCGCTTCTTTGAATTTAACTTTTCTTGAGTTTCTTATACTCGGTATCATTCTCCCCTAGCTGAAAAAAATTCGACTTCGAGTTTTGTACAGTATCAAAATCCACGAACTTTGAAATTACATTAATGGCTTCACATTGGAATCTTCAAGTTGGCAGCATTGTTTTTTCGTCATCAAAGGTGACAATGGAAGCAACAAGATATTTTTAGATCTACAGCTGAATTTTTCTAGAATCATGAAATCAATTGAAGTAGAAGATGGACCCTTGAATTGATCTAAGTGTTGAGTTGCCAGCCCCATCATCCATTGCATTCTCTTTTCGCTTTGCAATATATTTTACAATCAATTTGAATGCTCCTTGCAACAAACAAGCATGAATTCCATTATTCTTAGCCTTTTTCTCAACCAAAATGTCATCATGCAATTCAATTTTGCAATCCTTTTGTGATTCTTGCATATGTTGGACATCATTCGTGGGTAGAGGATCCTTAGATAACTTCGTTGGCACCACATCAGAAAATTTAGGTGACACATTGGCGACCTTTAAAGGCATATTTTGCTCAGAATTAGCCTTTGGTTGCTTTAATTCTTCAGCCTCTACAGTTTGTATGGTATCCAAATCATCAATTTGATGTCTAGCCTCTTTTTGAATAATTTGGGAATCCGCTGGTAGCGCTTTTACCTTATGAATGGGAGAGCCTTTTTATCATTAATAATTTGGTCTTCTTTTCTTTTGGGCGAAATCTGATTGTTTTCTTTCACTTGTGACTTTACTTGCGCATCTTTGACAACATTCTTTGGTTTTGGTGCTACTTGTGATGCATGTCTCTCACAATTTTGTGGTTGTTGCAGCAATCCTCCTCTTGTAGTCTTCAAAATTGTAGATTTCTCCTTAAATTTTACAAAAAAATTCAAATTGTATAGTCGTTGCAATATCATCTTTGAGATCTTTGAAATATGCATGAGACATCTCTTTAATTCTATATCTCAATCAATTTTAAAACGAGCAATAGTCATTCGTTCATTTTCTACCACTTCAGACTTGATAAATCACACACATCACCTTGCTCTTGAGAATACAATTGATCAATAAACTCATTTTGAAGCTCACTTCGATGAATTTCTTGATGGGATCCAAGAATAAGAGAGAGAAGTTAGAGAGAGAGGAACCCTAAGGGTTCTAGAGAGTGAATATCTCAATATCATTCAATTATCATATAAAGTTAGTTATGAAATGATGTCTACTTCTCTACATATAGGCTATTAATTAACTATCTACTAACTAACTCACTTGGTAGGCACATATCCTGCATCATACTCGCCCACTCGAAAGAACTTGTCCTCATGTGAAAACGAAAACAAAGTAACAACCAATGCATAAGAAATGAAACACAGTAGTAGACAAGCACAATACAAACAAATCCCATAAAGAAACTAGTCTACAATAAGGGAAGTGGTGTCGGTGCAAGAAGAGTCCGACAAATAAGGCACAAGATGTTGCACATTGAATGTGTTGGAAATTCCCAAATGAGGTAATTGGACTTGATAAGCATGGTCATTTGTTCAAGACTTCACATGGACCCACTTTCCGGTCACTCAACTTTGTATAAGAACCTTGATGATACATTTCCTTGCTCAACACAACTCAAACAAGATCCCTTACTTCGAATGACACCTTTCTTTTATGTGCATCAATTGCCGCTTTGTATTTGGCATTGGACTTTTCAATTTGGGACTTGATTTAGCATGGACATTTTTCATGAATGCAACCATCTCCTCTGAATGGACATTTTTCATGAATGCAACCATCTCCTCTGCTTTGATGCTTCATTTCCTTGAAACGGGCAAAGGAACCAAATCTATAACGCTTGAAGGTTTCATCCTATAAACCACTTCAAAGGGAGAAGTGTTAATAGTGCAATTGAAAGACGAGTTGTAAGCAAACTTGGCTAAGGGAAGAATGCCATCCCAACTCTTGGGATGATCACCCACTAGACACCTCAACAAGTTTCCAAGACTTAGATTTGCCATCTCCGTTTGGCCATCGGTTTAAGGATGAAAGGTAGTGCTAAAATTCAAATCGGTGCAAATTTTCTTCCACAAGGTTTTCCAAAAGTGAGCAAGGAACTCCGCATCTCAATTAGACAACATAGAGGTAGGCACCCCATGCAACTTATAGATTTCCTTGAAGAAGAGGTTAGTGATGTTGGTAGCATCCATGGTCTTCTTGTAAGGGATAAAATGTGCCATCTTGGTGAAGCAGTCGACCCACCATAATGGAATCACTTTGCCTTTGTGTAGGAGGTAAACCCCACACGAAATCCCTGCTAATGCATTGCCAAGGACCATCCAGCACCGGTAAAGGCATATATGATCCTCCATTAGTTGCAGTCTATTTGCTTTATTGGCAAATTTGACACCGCTTCACGTAGTTGCCCACGTCCTTAGTCGTGCTTGGCCAATAATATGCATCTTGAAGTAACCCAAGGGTCTTGTCCTTACCAAAGTGGCCCAACTTATGATGTTCGATCAACAAATGTGTCCTTAAAGAACAACTAGAACACACAACTTAAGGCCATGAAAAAGGAATCCATCCCATAACATGTAACTTGGATAAGTAGCTCTATCCTCTCTTTGCAAAGCATCAAGAATCTTGTGGAAGTAAGGATCACTCACATAGAATGTACGAAACTTATTAAAACCCACATCTTCATTCTTCATCTCAGCCAAGCGAGTTATTCGCCTACTCAACCCGTTGGCCACCTTATTAAGGACTCCGATTTATGTCTCAAGGAAAATTTAAATTGTTGCATGTAAGCCACCCATTTAGCATGCCTATTGTTAAGATGAGGTTGGCTATTAATGTGATTGAGGGCCTCATGATTGGTGTTGAGCACGAACTTTTTGTAAGCAAGGTAGCAGCTCCAATGCTTGACGGCATAAAACTCCAAGTCATTAGTTGCTACCTAATTCAACTCCCCCTTAGGGAGAGTTGAACCAATGACCTCTCTCTTGGGGCTAAGACCTT